AGGCTGCGGAGCGGCTGCTCCCCCGCCCTGCCGAGCAACCGGGTGCTTTCGCTCCGGTTTCGGTGAGGAAACCGCTTAAACTTGTGAAAAGGAGACCTTGGTTGCGCCCTCCTGGAGGAGCAGTAAGGAATTCCTGTCAGAAAGCCAGAGGTTGCTGGGGATGCGAGGCGGCCTTCTCTGTTAGGAGCTGTTGTTGCTTTTCCCCCGCGCCCGCGGCGGGTTGTGTAACTCGGTCAGCTGGAAATGAGAAGCGAAGTGAGACGACTTCGTGGGTTTGGTAATGTGTGAGGAATTATTGAGATAACCTGTTGGTCCTTGAAGGACGGTGGTTGTTTGGGAAACATCCCTCGCTGATGCCTCCCTCTCTGTGCTGCCCCAGCTCCTCCCTGCCTTGTCTCAGTCGTGCACAGGTTGCTTAATCCCAGGAGCCTGCACCTGGGGGCAGACACACACCTGGTATCACCAGCAAGCTTTTCTTTCTGCTCCTCCCACCCTCTGCCCTTGACAGAGGTTACCGACAGGCGGTGGGGATTGGATTTAAAAGGCTGCTTTGGTTTTAAGGTTATTTAAAATACGGTTGTTCTTCTGTAGTTTCAGAATTGTGTGTAGAAGGGTAATCTCTCTGGATTTAACTTCATTCTTTTCTGGCTTTGAGAAGAAGTTTCCAGCAGATTAAATAGATGTTTTATAGATGCAAGTAGAAAAACAAGTGTTTGGTCCCAATGGGTGATGAATATTTGTGATGCCATTTTGGAGAAAGCATTTGTTAGCCAAAGTGTTTTGATGATCAGATGTTGAAACTTAATAACTTCATAACAAATATAAAGGGTGGAAGGAAGATAATATTTGTATTTTTAGTAAAAAATGGAAGCTTCTGGTCTCTTCCTTCCCCAGCTGCCTGCAGGGAGCCTGCAGCTCACTCTCTACCAGTACAAAACATGTCCTTTCTGCAGCAAAGTCCGAGCTTTTCTTGATTATCATGGACTACCCTATGAAATTGTGGAAGTGAACCCAATAATGAGGAAAGAGATAAAATTTTCTTCCTACAGAAAGGTGCCTATCCTGCTAGCCAATGCTGGAAGCCCTCTGGTAAGTCTTAACTGTGTTGAAAGGTTGATTTCAGTGGTGAAAGCAGTGGTTTGGAGGCTGCTTTTGTCTCTGTCACGTCTCTGTGATTTATCACATGGCAGTGTAATCTTTAGATCATCTCTTTAATCTCTAAAGAGCCTAAGATTTGTTTCTTGCTTCATGGTTTCCTATGCCTTGGGCTTGTTAGAGTTTGTTGATGGCCTTTCTTGCAAGGTGTGTTGTGTAGTGACTCGTGATTACCTAGCTCCTGTCAGCCTTATGCAGGACGTGGTTTTGTACCAGTAATGACAGGAACTGCCTATACCTTTGGGGGAAAATAACGAGATTTCAAGGACACTGAAGATTCAACTTGGCTGTTTTTATGTATTAATGTTGCTTTTCTTCCTTCACTGCTAAGAGCTAAAATCCAAAGCCCACTGGTGTTGTCTGTGACTCAGGTCCTCTGTAGGCAGAATGAAAGACAGAGCTGAAGCAATCGCAGAAGAGATCTGAATGTCTGGCAGTCTTTAAGTGTGCAGGGACTCTGGTGGAAATAAATGGGGGGAAAAGGAACTGCAGTACTAACTTGGAGCCTCAGCATGCAGGGAAAAAGGTGTTGAAGAATTTACTTTCAATTTCACCAACCTCTTTTAAAAGTTTATTTTAATTCTGTTTTTCAGCAATTGAATGACTCTTCCGTAATCATCAGTGCAATAAAGACCTATCTCATTTCCAAGTAAGAAAATGGGATGATGAGAGAAGAGTTGAATGTGAATGGCCCTGGTGAACTAGTGACTGAGAAGACTCTCTTCTCAAAGTCCATCATAAATATCTTGTTGGCTTTGGTCTCTGAAGCTCTGGGTGTTTGGCCCAGCAGGGCTGGCCCTGTCTGTGGTGGTGGGGATGGTGTCTGTAGATGAGAGACGTGTGCAACTAAGCAAAGCTTTTACCTTTAAGAACTGCTTTTTTCTCTTCATCTGTGAGATTCTCTTTGCACAAAACTGCCTTCAATATGGACTAGAGTTAGTTCTGGAGCTAAGCTTACATTTAGCTGGTTACAAGATCTAGAATCAAATTAAATTGCTGTGTCTGTGGCCTGTCCTTCAGGTCTGTGCCACAAAGCACTTGAGAATGGTTGGAGTTTTATGCCTGCCAAATTTTCTGTTCTGACAGAGATGTACACTAACTATGGTTATTAGCAAGCAGCTGTTCCAGAGGCTTTTAAAAACTTCAAATAGAATTTGCAGCCTCGATTTGTAGAATAATACGTTTTAAAGTGTGTCTTTTGATCTGTCCTTTGATCTGCTCATTTTTGCAGTGGCCAGGTTGGTGCTAACTGTGTTTCTGTCCACAGGAGGAATAGCTTAGAAGAAATCGTGTCCTTTTATCCTCTTCTGAAAACTGTAACTGAGCAAGGCAAAGAGGTGTTTGAGTATGGGAATAAATACTGGCTCATGCTGGATGACAAGGAGACAAAGCGAGTCTACCCTGTCAAAGAAGTGAGAGTGTAAGTGCTCTTCAGTTTCTGGGCTCTCCGAGTAGGATCGCTGTGTCTGGAAGAGGATGGAGCATGACAAAAGAGCAGGACAAAATCCTGCTGGTGCTGACAAATCCTGTCACAATCCTCTTGGTGTTTAAAACTGTGCTAGTTGGAGTAGTTTTGCTTTGTTTCTGACATAATTTTGAACAGTCCTGTTGGACAGGCTAGCTGCTACCATCACGGTCGTGCTAGGCTTCAGTTGCCTCCAGTTTCCTTCTTGGCTGTTCCTTTATGTCATGGGGGAGCACTATGGAGCAGTAGTTGCCCCTTCTGCTTTTATTGAGAGGAGAATTTAGTGCTCTCTTAGTCTTAAACTCATCCTGAGATTGGAGGAGCCTTGCCAAAGATAATGATCCTGAGGACATTTCAGGGAGATCAGCAGAGCACAAGGCTGTGCTGGAGTTTCTGACACATTCATCCCTGGTAGAACCTCTGGCTCATGCTACTGTGATTCTGCCTCCTGTAGTCCTGTGATCTGTCAGATACAGAGAACAGATTCACTGACAAGTCTCTCTTGAATGCTTGCAGGGAAGAAATGAAGTGGAGAAAATGGGCAGATGATTGGCTTGTTCACCTCATCTCCCCCAACGTTTACCGTACCCCCAGAGAAGCCTTGGCATCCTTTGATTACATCGTACGTGAGGGGAAGTTTGGCACCCTGGAAGGTTTATTTGCCAAGTACATTGGGGCTGTTGCCATGTTCTTCGTTAGCAAGAGACTGAAGAAAAGGTTGGTACCACTGAGAACCAAGTGCACAAGAGGAATAGCTCCTTAACCTCCTTAGCTGTGAACCCCAGGTGTCAAAGAGCAGAACCAGAGTGTTTTAAACTATTTGATCCAATGTAACAGCTGTACTTCTTTAACTGGAGGTACTGGACTCATCTAGTGTTTAATCACTAGTTGCCCCCTTTGCTCTCAAATGCCTTATGATTCCCAGGCAAAGACCAGTCTGTGAGATTAGAGGTGATAAAAGGTTGAAGAAACAAACAGACTAGTGTCTTCAAACTAGTTCTTCTCTTTATCCAGACATCACCTTCGAGACGACGTCCGAGAAGACTTGTATGAAGCAGTTAATGAGTGGGTAAAAGCTGTTGGCAAACATCGACTGTTCATGGGTGGAAACCAGCCAAACCTTGCTGACTTGGTAAGGGGTTAATTCCTGCATTTATTTTTAGGTTTATTACAAATTCTCCAGTTTCTCATCTGTGAAATGATTAATACAAATATAGGCAGATGTCAGTTAAATGAGATAATTGCCTATGTCCTGTGTGCAGTGATTCAATTTCCACTTGAAGGGGACTTAAAAATATTTGTGTTACATAGGACAGTATTTGTTATGTTCCTCCAGAGAAATGTTTCCTGAGATGGAACCCACAGTTCCCATTTGGCAGTGGATGTTCCTGATCATGTGGAAGCACAATACAAGCAGGTTACAAGCCAGGGCACAGCTCTGGCTCCTGAATGCTGGTGAATCAAGCTCACACAGGTTTTATAACATTTGGTGCTGCTGGGGTTTCCCCTGCAGGCAGCAGTGCAGGGTGGAGCAGGATTCATCCCCTGCACCAGCAGCTCTTCCTGGAGAGCAAGTGAAGTATTTCGCACTGGGGCTTGATGCAGATGGGACTAACTTTTGCTCCACAAATGCATGTAGATCCTGAGCTTTTCTGTTTTGTTATGGAAACATCCATATATACCATGCATAACTACCTTTCTGCCATTCAGCCTTCTTGTTAATCAATGGCAGAGGAGATGGCAGGACAGGGAAAAAGCCTTACTGGCTAGGTTGTGGAGACACTTATAGGTACCCAGCACCATTTTCCACTGCTGACTCAGTGTTGTTCTCATTTTTATCCTCTGGCATAGGCAGTGTACGGGGTCCTCCGAGTCATGGAAGGGCTGGAAGCCTTTGATGACATGATGGTTCACACCAAGATTCAGCCTTGGTATCAGCGCATGGAAGAAGTAATTCAGAAAGCTGAAGTTGCAGTCTGATGCCAGCTGCAGCTGCCTTCCTGAAGTACTTGCATGGTAAAAAACTTCAGAAGGAATGGAATTTATTTTTTAAGAATTGAAATGGACTGGTCACAGCTAATGGACTGACATGCAGGCACAGAGACTGTCCTGTTTAGATTATCAAGTGAGCAGAAGGGATGCAGCTGGGTGTGTGTTTCAACACAGTGTGTAGGCTGGGGATAGGAACTTGGAGACTGCTGGAGAGGAGAAGCTCTGAAGAATGCAGTAATTGGGCTGCTGTTAGGAGAGAGCCCCTCTTGCTTGGAGCAGGTTCCTGTGACAGCTGCTTGTGGCTGGTGTTACAGCCACATCAGGGTAGGTTGGAGCAGCTTTTGCTTCAGGCTCTCTTCCACTACTCACCTTTTTCACCTGAAGCATTTTCCTGACTGAGACACTGGATATGAGTCTTTAAATTACCATTTTCCCTGCAATAGAATCATGTAAGCCCAGTGCTGAGGGAACAGGAGGAATCCACGGGCATCCTTCCTGTGGCTGAAGCAGTGCTGCCCACGGCAGGTTGCACGGTTTGACTCTCCCATGTAAACGGTTCTTTCAGTCCTGAACGGTCTGCAAGGATAAAGGCTTCCTGCTTTCTGTGCCCTGTGAGATCTGTCAGTTCTTACCTTACCCCTTTACACCCAGAGAGCACAACTCACAGAAATCCTGATGTAAAAGATACACCTTGCATGAAATTTCTCTGGAATAGCCCTGAAAACTCAGGTTGTTGTGGAAACAGTAGGAATAAGAGGAATCCACACGCCTTGGGGGATCTCTAGGTGCTTCTACCGTGCCAGAGTAACAAAGGATTTAAAGGATTTTAACTGACAGGATTTGGGAAGCAGGGGCTGGAATGTGATTTCTTCAGAGCTGTGCTGTAGAGCCCGATGCTTTTGTTGCGGCGAGAGGCGCCGGGTGCGAACCTCGACGGGCCTCGATGCCCTTTTAATTGTCGCCTTGATGACTTTGTGTTTCCCACCCCCCGGGAAGAAACAGGCGGGTTTGGCGGGAAACGCGGGGCTGAGCCCAACTGCTTCGCGTTGCTATGGTGACGGGCCGCGCGGCGCGCCGGGCCCCTTGTGACGTGTCGGCGCCGGGTCACGAGGCGGGTTTGAACCAGCCAATGGGGGAGGCGCGGGCGGC